CATTAAATTCCAGTGAAATATATTTATGTTTGTGGTTGTAATGTGACAAAATATGGAAAAGTTCAAGGGGTATGAATACTTTTGCAAACCACTGTAATTTCTGGGTTAACATGTAGTTTTAAGAGTTAAAGTGTAGTTTGTGTGTTAACATATAGTTTGTGTGTTAACATGTAGTTTTAGGAGTTAATGTGTAGTTTGTGTGTTAACATATAATTTATGTGTTAACATGTAGTTTTAGGAGTTAAAGTGTAGTTTGTGTGTTAACATAATTTGTGTTAACATGTGGTTTTAGAAGTTATTGTGTAGTTTGTGTGTTACCATATAATTTCTGGGTTAACATGTAGTTTTAAGAGTTAAAGTGTAGTTTGTGTGTTAACATATAATTTGTGTGTTAACATATAGTTTTATGAGTTAAAGTGTAGTTTGTGTGTTAACATGTAATTTGTGTGTTAACATATAGTTTTAGGAGTTAAAGTGTAGTTTGTGTGTTAACGTATAATTTGTGTGTTAATGTTTTAGAAGTTAAAGTGTAGTTTGTGTGTTACCATATAATTTCTGGGTTAACAAGTAGTTTTAAGAGTTAAAGTGTAGTTTGTGTTTTAATAATGTGTAGTTTTTGTGTTTAAGTGTAGTTTGGGCAATAATGTAGATGTATGTGTTAATGTTTAGTTTGTGTGTTAATATAATTTGTGTGTTAACATGTGGTACAGAAGTTAAAGGGTAGTTTGTGTGTTAAAGTGTAGTTTGGGCAATAATGTACAGTAGATTTATGTGTTAATGTTTAGTTTGTGTGTTAACATAATCTGTGTGTTAACATGTGGTACAGAAGTTAAAGTGTAGTTTGTGTGTTAACATAAAGTTTGTGTGTTAACATGTAGTTTTTGACACTCAGTTCATGTCTGTAGGTTTCGTGCCTCTCTCTATCCGTGTCCTGAAACTCCACAGGAGAGGAAGGAGATGCTCGCTGGTGTTAACAGCCGCATTGATGACCTGCAGATGGTAGGTTCAAAATTATTTTCATTCATCACTTGATGGTTTTTGCTGTAATCTAATCCAGAAAATTCATTTTAAAGCCTTTTAAAACTCCTCCATAGGAACAAATAAATACTGTATATACAACACAGTAAAATACAGTAAAAACACTCAATAAAAGATGAAACCAGGGTTCAACAAGATTCATTTTTTGTACCTGCCCTGTCGGGCAGGCGACAACAAATGTTACCTGCCCGAAACAAAAATGTTCAAATTTTGATAAAATAAGAAAAACGTGTACTGTACTTTGTACTACAAAAATATTACCATGGTTATACAGAGGTATATAATATATGACATCTGATTAAACAGATGCAAACATTTTAGACTGAGTTACGAACAGTCAGTTGTTTTATCAAGAACATCTTCAAAACAGTGTTTCCCTTAGAGTCCTGGCCTTGGGGGCGGGGCTTATGAAAACAGAATGATCAACAGCAGCAGCTTTATTTTAAATACAATTTAC